GAATACCATTCCCCGTCAGAGTAAAGCGGTTTACCGCCACTCACTCCATGAGGTGCTTTCTAAAGTGCCACTTTGTTTGTTTATTGTATTCCCTAAACGTCATGCTCTACATTGCTTGTAACATGTACTGTATCATCTCACTTATTGCATTCATTTGCATCTTATATTATCTCTTATTGTTTATCCTTTTACGCTGGGCAGCATTTCGGATCGTGGTCTCCCGGGACTTGACTTCCAGCATGTTTTCCCAGGACCCGAGCATGCGCTGCATCTGGCTCTCCTCCCGAGGTGGTTTACTGCTTTTCCTAGCTTAATTAGTTTGTTAGCTGATTAGGAAATTTGTAATATTTAATTAGCTTGCGTAGTTAATTAATTTGTATTATTTATTTGGTCCCTCCGGGCGAGGGCAAATCTGTAATAAGTGTGTGTGAGTAGTGTGCATGTCTTCCAATCCCCACTTCTTTCTTCCCTTTTATTTACCTGGTTTGATGGTAGATTAGGGCACGTTTAAATTAGCATACCTTATGCAATGCATGCGTGCATTCATTCATTTGTTTTACATGCACCGGGCTCGGCACATCACGCTAACTGCATTTGTACTTCAATTCCAAATTGAATACGTGCATCAATTGACTGCATTTCACATGCCATGCTTAGGTTAGCCGAGCCTACTCTAATCGCATTTTGCATGCGTTGCATTAGCCACTCTAACATGAACTAGGATCATGCATGTTTGCTAACTAGTTCATTGTTTTGGCACGGAGTACTATGTAAGTGTTTTCCTGCTTTAGCATACTGCATGTGTGCGAGTGTTGCCATGACAGTATGACTGCCATGCGGCTAAATGCTTACGTGATATAATTGTTTGAATGCCCGTGGGTGAAGGTTGGATTGTTTGAGTTGGAAAAACTCGTTGAAATTCGTATTTTAGCCTGCTTGCGAGTAGCAAATTCCAAAGCATTTTTCAAAACAAACGGATATGCAATGCTTGTTTCCAAACCTACTTGTGAGTAGCAAATTCCAAAATATTTTTCCAAAACAAACGGATATGCAATGCTTATTTCCAAATTAGGCTATCTAGTCTATACTTGTTTGCTGTGCGCATAACATAGTAATTCTAGGCTAATAACTGGAATAAGAACACGTAACGTTTTCAAAAACGGATATCATGGTTAGTAGAGGCCGATCTTCGGATCGGGCGAGAGGGGGTGCTCATAGCTAACCTTCGCCAATCGTACCCAAGTTCCCGAGCTGAGGCAACTTTGGTGATGACGGACACGTGGCCTTTGGCACCGAGTCAGGGTTTCCTAAATTCCCCCATTTTAAAATATTTAGGTGGCGACTCTGTATCTGGCAAAGCAGTCCATGTTTGGCACTTCTTTTCAAAAATCTGTTTTCTCAAAACGATTTGCCAGATTTGGACTCTTTGGTTCAAGATTAAGAACCGCAACACAAAATCGAGTCTGAACTGTAGTAGCGTGGTCCCTCGCGGGCGCGTGCTACAATAGCCAAAACAAAAATAAAACGTTAAGGAAACTAAGAGGAGCAAGGAAATAGTTACTCCTAATGTTGTTGTAGGATAGTCCTGCACCAGCTGTTGTAAAACCTGTGGGGTAAGAGAGAAAAAAAAGCACTTATTAGCTCTCAAATATAATAGGCCAAGAGCAGCCCAAAAGCCAGAGCAATTGAATAGCTAGTGAAACAACCTCAAACACACCTGGGGTGGACATCACAATCTCCAGCTACAACAAAGAAAATAAAACATATCAGAAAACCCTATACCATTATTATTTTATTGAACACCTACTGAACTAAATTTCTCAGTTAACTTCATTATACACACAACCATCGTGTATACAAGTTCATCAAATCAAAAATTTGTCGAGCATTTCAAATTAGAGGAAGATGCAAAGAATTAGCCAGAACCATACTTCAACCACTAAAAACCGTCCCACCAAACCAAGGATGTTGTCATATGTTTTTTCATAGACTAAACTATTAAAATCTTTTTATCATTCTGATAATTAAAATTAGGAGCAATCACGAATTGGTGTCTATGAGTTTTGGTGTTGCACACCGAGTAATTATGCATCAAGAAAGCTCACAACTGAGATGCCACCATTAAGTGCAGCACAAGCAGCTTCCATTGCTAACTCTGCACTGTTAACAAAAAAGGGACAAAATTAATTAATCTGAATCCATGTGACAGAATGCCCATTCATATAATGCATTTAACAGCCAAAAATTGAAAGAACATAATAGAAGGGCGACGTTGGACTAATTTTTCTAAACCATAATTTAGATTTTAGGACTTAATGACGTGGCATAATTTACTCATATAATTCTATCTTCTCTGAATATAATATAATTACAGTAATAACCCATTAAAAATTCAAGATAATTGATCATTCATTTGATAGACACATGAAATTAAGATAGAATGCAATGTTGAGAGAGAGAGAGAGCATTTATTTATAATATGTAAATCAAGGTTTTGAAAATCGGACCGGACTGGCCGGTTCGACCGGTCGGGGTTCCAGTCCGGACATACCCTCTGAACCGGCCAAAGCTAAAAACTGGCGTATTTAGTGAGAACTGGAAAAACCGGCGGTTGGACCGGTCAACCCGGAGCCGGTTCGCCAGGTTGTCTGGCTCAATTAATTTTCTAAAATGTAAAAACTACATTTATTAAATTGATATAAAAAATTTAAAAATAAACAATTTAGATAATTAAAATAAGTCCTTTTAAATTCTATCAAGTTTAACTATAAATTTTAAAAAACAATTCTGCTACATCCACTAAAATTATGCCCACCCAAAATGCTCGAATGAGGTGGAAAGTCTTACTCCACTATTTGTCCCATTTGCCTAAAAAATGCGAGTTTCATGCACTAGGAAAAGAAGTCACTGAATCAGATCCAGGCCAGGCCTCTTTTCTCTTCTCTCTTTCCCCTCAAAACTGTAAACAAAGCTCTCTCTCTCTGTCTTTCAGCCCTCTTGCCTCTCAAACGGTAAACAACACACTCTCTCTCTCACTCACCGACGTCTTTCTCTCTCACTGACACCTACAATCAACCATGGTTTTGAAAATCGAACCGGACCAGTCGATTCGGCCGGTTGAGCCGTCGACCGGTCGGGGTTCCGATCCGGACATACCCTCTGAACCGGCCAAAGATGAAAATCGGCGAATTTAGCGAGAACCGGAAAAATTGGCGGTTGAACTGGCGAACCGGTCGACCCGGAGCCGGTTCGCTGGGCAGTCCGGCTCGAATTTTTTTTTTTTAGTTTCTTTTTTTTTTTAGTTTCTTTCTTTTCTTATATTCTTATTATATATATATATATATAATATAAGAATATAAGAAAATTTTAATTTGAAACTCTTTTTCAAGGGTTTCCTCTTGTGAGGAATCACATTAAAAACTTGATGAAATTATTGTGAAAGTCTTCACCTATTTATAAGAAAAAAATTCTTTCAAAAGACTCAAAAAATCCATGTGGGATTCAATCAAATGTATTGGAGGGAATATTGAAATTTTGATATCCCTCCAAAATTTTTGCTTTCCTTTCAATCAAATTATTTGAATTAAAATCATATGGAGGGAATATTAAATGTTTGATTTCATCTTCCAAAATTGAAATTAATAATATTTTAAAATGTATTATTATATTTTTCAGTAAAAAAATATTAGGACAAATATTTAAGATAATTTAATATTTTTAATTTTATTACTTATATTTTTATTTAAATATAATTTTAATATATTTATTACATCACGGTTCGATTCCGGTTCAACCTGACGGTTGAACCGGTAACCCGTCTACCTGATCCATTTTTCAATTCGCTCACTGATTCGGTTTTTAAAACATTGATGTAAATGCGAATACCTATTCAAATATATGAAATGAAGACTGCTGGTGGTATTGACACATTTGTGTCTCATATTTTAAATTTTTCCAAAATACGTGAGTTGATGTTTATGTAAAAAAGAAGAGGACATGATTTGAAACCAAAAGTCCTTACCACTTGAGTAGACAGACTCTATATGTGTATTTTTCTTGGGTGAGGCTCCCGTTGGGATACCCAACTGGAGGTGCTGTTGGGTCTCCGTGTACCCACCACACCACAGAACCCGCATCGATGGTCCGATCAATGTAATTTTTTGTAGGAATGAACCTTACACATTAAAGGGTTCAGATTATCGATATAGCTCAAACGGCAGTTCGATTTGGACTGGTGAGAAGCCGTGGCCATTTTTCTTTATCATTATTCTTATACTCTGATTTTTTTTTTGAATTGCATGTGTGTGCAGCCCGCTAGTACTATATAATGCAAACACTTGAGCTGGTATGAATGTCACCGCTTTTTTTAATTCCTAAATTATCCTTGTTCCTTCTTCTTAACTACCCAATTCAAATACACTCATGGGTCTTTCCTAACTGCAGATCTGTAAATTGTAATTGCAATTTTCAAAGCATTCCCACTTCTACTATAGAGAGAAAGAGGGATTGGTGTTACCTTTGGGCACGAAGGCAAGCGATGACGCCGGTGTTTTTGATATGGGAAAGTGTAGTGTTGACGGGAGAGAGAGAGTGTGAAGGCGAAGAACGACAGCAGTGACAAGATGAGGAGGCCAAAGAAGAAGAATAAGGCAGTTTTCGCAGTGGACTTATTGAAGATGAAGAAGAAGAAGGCCATACGCAGTAGTAGTAGCTCCCAACCGCCATTGCAATTTCAATTTCAGTTTCTCACTCACTTTTGGCATCTTGTTTCGGTTTTCTTATGATGACAGCGGATAAGGTATTTGGATAATATTCTTTGGCTTTTCAGAAAAAAATTGTTAAATAGAAATTAATTGGAACAAAATAAACACTAAAAAAATATTTAAAATTTTACTTTTACCTTCATATTTAGAAAATTATATAGTAAAAAAATGGATTTTTTTTTAAGATCCCTATTATTAAGATTTTATAGGATAAAAAACATACAACATTTTCATAGTGGTTGGGATCCTTCAATATTTTTCACAGAAATTTTGATCCAAAAAAATTTCAAAGTAGAGAAATTTTCGGTAAAATTTTTTCTGATTTGAAATTTCTCTAACTTTCTCTGTTCTCTATATTTTGAAATTTCTCTGACTTGCTCATAATTTTCTCAATATTTTAACCAATTTTATCTGATTTGCTCACAATTTTTTTTTATGTTTTGACCAAATCAGAAAAAATTGTGTTCTGACAATGATTCTCGTGTCTTCTTCTCCATCGTCTACACTTGCGATTGCTACAATGGAGTTGTTTTTTTCATCTGGTACTGCACAACACAACTAGAGAAAGAGAAAAGAACAGTACGACCAAGATCACAAAGTTGCCCAATAGAGATTAGATTGAGAGTAAGATGAGGAATTAAATAAGTGCTAGGAAGGGAAACAGTAGAAGTAGAGACACGGCCTATATGGTTAACATGCATGGGAGAGCCATCAACAGTATAAATGGTAGGAATATTAGATACAGACATAGTAGAAGAGAAAATAGTAAAATCCGATGTCATATGATTGCAACAAGCAGAATCAAAGAACCATGAGGAGGTACTTGAGGTGACTGACAGAGCAGTAGAGGGTGTACCAAAAGTAGAGAGAACCTGTTTGACTATGGATTCAATGTCATGAAGTGTGAAGGTTTGGTTGTGCTTAGGAGGAGCAACATCAGAGGAAGATGTGGCAGCAGTAACAGCAGCAGAATGAGAATGAGCAGCGGGCCGATAGCGGTAATGGGATCGAGATTGACCTCCTTTAGAATGACTGTCATGAGGTTGGCGATTGGGATTTTTGAAATAGTCACTCTGATAGTGGCCAGGACCAGTCTTGTTGCACCACTTACAAATCCGGATTGGACATGTAAGTAAACTATGATTGGAGTTATGGCAATAAGTACATGATTGTGCAACGGATGATTTGCTAAGCTGATGAGAAGTAGCAAGAACATTGTGAGTCTATGAAGTTTTGAGAGAGCCAAGACGAGTTTCTTCAGAAAGGAGTTCGGAGATGGCATGTTCTAAGGTTAGAAGTGGATGACGATGGAGAAGAGAAGCTCGAACAGGTTCAAAATCATCCCGAAGGGCCATCAGAAAGGATATCAAGCGTTGTTCATCTCGATATGTAGAGAACTGACTAGCATCTTCCTTGCAGTTCCATTTAGGTTCAGACAAAGAAAGTTAAGCCCAAACAGCATACATCTGGGACAGAAAAACATTGATAGATTGACCGGACTCTTGTCGCATGTGATGCAGTTGGCTAAGAAGTTGATATTGGTGAGCAAGAGCAGTGGTGCTATAACGAGTCTTTAGAATATCCCAGATTTCCTTTGCTGTGTCAAAGCGCCCAAATTGAAGATTAATGGAGACAATGGAAGTATTACGGCACCATGTGATGACTTGATGGTTTTTACTATCCCAATCATCAAGTTGTTCTTCATATTTAGAGACAAGTTCATCAATATTTTTGGCAGATTTGACAGTATCACCAGTAACAAGACGCCACAACTTCTTCCCTTTGAGAAAACTAGACATGGCTTGAGCCCAAATGGTGTAATTAGAACCATCAAGAATGATGGAAATTGGTTGGGCCATATCAGAACGATCCATAGAAAGCAATAAAAAAGAAATAACAAGGTGAGAAGAATGGAGACGTGGTGTTGCTAAACTGGGTGTAGGGGATGGAGCAATATTTGTGGACTGCCGGAATTAAGAGGATCAAGGATTTTGACTCTAAGCTCTGATACCATGTTAGAATAGTAGAGAGAGAAAATAATATGTATTGTATTGAATTAATAATTTTACAGTACAAAGCTATGGGTATATATATAGGACTATGTAGGAGTGTTGTACAAAGGAAAGGGAAAGAATAAGGTAGGGAGAGAATAAGGTAAGGAAAGAATAAGGTAGGGAGAGAATAAGGTAAGATTTGAACATACCTAATAGGGAGGAGCCTATAATCTAAATATGGAATACAATACAAAGAATAATATATACATATATAATATGTTAATTATATGTATATATTAACAGTCTACACTTGCGATTGCTACAATGGAGTCGTTTTTTCATCTGGTACTGCAATTCCTTAAAATCTTGATCTTTGATCTTGAATATTGGATTGCTTGTTACAATGAAGTTGGATAACACTAATTTCATAGTTTGGAAGGATCACATGTGGAACATAGACCCTTAACTGGTAGAGAGTCATAAACCCTTTCCAAACACTGAAAGTGAATTTTTTTTTAGCATATATAAGCATTGACAAATAAAGCACCATGCACATATCCTTTAACTACAAAATCACATTCCCAAAATTTCAACATCCACATTCTATTTGACACTATCTTTCTTCAATTTGGGACTATCATCCAGTGTTCTAACATAAAAAAACATATACAAAATTCATCAGAACACTGTAATGGCGACTGCGATTCCGACGCAACAAGTTCAGGAGGCAACGATGCATCCTATGATGCCGCATACCGACAGTGCTGGCAACGGTGAAGGGAGGTTTGTGAATGTGTCATTGTACGTGGGAGATCTCCTCCGCCGATAGTGGTGGTAGAGAAGGAGAGAAATTGTTGTGGATAAATCTGAAACCCTAGAGGGATGAGGGAAGGAGAGAGAGGAGAGGGAATGAACAAGTGGGTGTGATATATGAGCGTGGATGAGAGATCTTAAGATATAAACTATACTGTAGACTTCTCCCATAATTAAAAATTAAAAAAAAATGCTAGACTAAATATCCCAAAAAAGAGAGGGAAAAAAAAAAGAAGAAAAAGTATGCACTCATTTTCTCATAAGATTCGTAAAAATAATTGACAAACATTATCAGTTTAATATAATTACATAATATTTTTTTTTCTTTTTAATAAAAGGTTAGTGGACCAAAATGAAGCGAATTGTGTGAAAAAATAAAGACAAAAAAAATTATATATATTAATATAAAATATATGACAATTCAAATTTTTGTTCATATAGTTAACTAATTATTGAAAAAATTATAATTAATTATTATATAAATTAAAATTTTATTTTTTTTAAAAAAAATTAAATTTATAAAATTTAATATATTTTTAAAATTCAATGCAGGGTGATTCTAATTTACCCAAAAAAATGAAATAAAAAAATTGTGTGATAGATAAAGTACCAACAGTAATACAACGGATCAAGACATAGAAATTTAAAATTATTCAAAATTTCATATTAAGATTTCGATTCATAAGCACTAATTCAATTTTCACCCAGCATAAGTATGGTCCATTGTATTTTTAGTACCAAATGCCAACAATCACTCCACATTTACGTGGTCAAAATATCAAACGTGTTTGCTTCTCATTTTAATGTTCCAGAGTAACAAGCGCGGCCTATAAATACCAGCACACTAATGCTGTGTTTGGTTGGAGGATTTGAGGAGGGATTTGGAAAGGGAAAGGGAAAAGTTAGGTGAAATGTGAATAAAATGTACTTACATTTCACCTAATTTCACACATCTTTTCCCTTTCTCTTTCCAAATTCCTCCCCAAATCTCCCAACCAAACACAGCATAACGGTTTTCACTTTTCTTTCGCGCCTACTTTCCCCCATTTTCCCGCACCACGCACCGAAGAAAAACAGAGAGAGAGAGAGAGAGAGAAATCAAAGATGGCAATGGAGGTAGTTCCAGTGACAAGCCCTGACATTCATAAGAAGAACAGAATTCAAGTCTCCAACACCAAGAAACCCCTCTTCTTCTATGTCAATCTCGCCAAGGTAAACCCCTACACCCCCTCTCTCTCTGAACATCTTTCTCTGCTTATGTTTGGATCTCATTGATTTAGAAAGAACACGATGGGGGGAAGTGGTTGATTGTGAAGTGAAATCGAGGAAAAAGAAAAAGGAAATTTGTTTTTATTTTCTTGCATGTTTGATTAGGATAAATTTTATACAAAAATGATTGAAAATTCTAGGATTTAGTTTGGAAAGCAGGAAAGTTGACTGGATTGACCGGATAGACGTGTTTTGAAACGTGAGTGTGGAATCAATTTTTGAAAGCTCAAACCAAGCATTACACTCAAAACCAGGGGTGAAATCAACTTTTCAAAGTCTTACCAAACACAGCCTTATATTTTATATAATTGTCCTATTTTTTTTTATCTGGGTGACTGGGTAATACTCCCCATTTTTATCATTAAAACAAAATCAAGTGTTTTCATATTACTAACACATGTGTGGCCTATTGTTTTTGTGTCTAATAATAAGAAAATCAAATAAACAATTGGTTTTTATATGATATTTTTCTAATTTAAACAAAGTGGATGGAACCATGTGCAAATTTGGAAAGTGTGGCAATTGTTCCCCAATTTGACAAGAAAAAAAAAATCTTAAAATTTTTTTGAAAATTTGAAATCTATGTATTTAAGTGAGTTGTATGGAAAATTTTACTTTCCAACACTTTCTAGGACTGTCTTGCTATACAAAAAAAAAAAATAAAAAAAAATTAAACTTTAGGGTTGGGTTTTCTATTTCAATGTAGAATTATGTCATCTCTATATTGATTTGGATTTGGTTAATTCATTGATCTTTCTGTAGGACAATCTTCACTGTATTTAAAAGATTTAATTCTATTGTGTACACAACAACAAATAGAATTTAAAGAAATAAAGAAAATGAGAGAATTTTTTTGATTATAAAAATCAAACTCGAAATAAAAATAAATAAATAAAAACAAATTTTATTTTGTTACAAAAACAAAATTAAAATCTGATTTAAATAAATAAAAACAACACTGAAAATAAATTAAATAACTTACTTGATTTAATTTCTTCGAATTATTTTCTGATCAAGTCCAGTGTTTAACACTGTGTCCTTAAGACAGATTCGTCCTCTCCACGGTGCTTTCAGAATTTGGACGTCTATCTCCCAGGATAAAATGATCTACTACAAACAATAGCAGCACTACAAATTGTTTGCCATACGAACACACTAAGTGTTTATACTCTCTCTGAACAAGAAAATAATGCAGCAAAATGAAGAATAGAAAACAGAAGTGAAATACGAAATTTCTGAATCCAAAATATGAAATGAGGGTGGTCCTATTTATAGATGTGAAGGTGACTCTTATACGAAATTTCTGAATGGAAAACATCAAATGAGGGTGGTCCTATTTATAGATGTGAATGTGGCTCTTGGTTTTGAATTGAACAGGTATGTGGCTCTTAGTTTTGAATTGAACAGGTATGATACCTGTTGGTTTTGAATTCAAACAGATAGCAAAACGGGAAGGGCTCTGTTTGGATGAGCAATAAATCCAAATCAGTTTCATTCTGTTTGAAAACGGGAAGGGCCCTGTTTGGATGAACAAAAAATCCAAACCAATTTAATTCTGTTTGAAAACGGGAAGGGCCTTGTTTGGATGAACAAAAAAATCCAAATCAGTTTAATTTGAATTCTGAATTTTATTTTACCAAAAATAAAATTAAATTCAAATATTTTTGGCCCAAAAAGATTATTATTGCAACCCAACCACACACCCTAATAAAAACAAAGATCAAACATCTTAAATGATTGAACTCTAAACCTATTAGTTTAAAACAAAGATCCCATGAAATTGTCATTTCATCCCAAACCCTTTCATCAAATGCATACTTGTTAAATCATAGTTAATTATTAATTTTGTGCGTAAAAAATATAAAATATTAATTATAAAATATTTTATATAAATATAAAAGTTAATAAAATAGTGAAACAATAAAGTCATCTAATTAAATATACAAGTTAAAAATAGAAATTTACAAAAATTGTGATCAATTAATATAATTATAAATGCATTTTAATAAGCACTCCATGGACACTCGTTAGTATTAGTCATTTTTTTTATAACTTTCTAAGGCCCTGTTTGGGGACTTACTTTTTTAGTTAAAAAGTCAAAAAGTTACCTTTTTAGTCAAAAAGTTAACAACTCATACTAAAAAGTCAAAAATTCTCTTTTCTCTCTACTTTTTGCACATCTTTTCGTAA